CGGGTTGACGCCCTTGCTCCAACCGCTCGACCGCATGCTCAACAAGCAGATGAAGCGGCTGCTGCGGGGCAAGTACACCGCCTACAGCACGTCGGCGGTCGCAGACGCCCGGTCGGAGAAGCTGAAGCCACCGGAGCGTGGGATCGTCTCTATGTGGTGCAAGGAAGCGTGGGAGTCCATCACCCCCGAGACGGTCAAGACTTGCTTCCAGATCTACGGTCTCACTCTCGCGCTCGACGGCAGCGAAGACTACGCCTGGTGCGAGCACAACTTCGGGGAAGACTACCGCGACCTTCTCGAGGAGCAGCACGCCGTGTGGCTCGCTGAGCACCCCGACGTGACTCTCCCGCCGCTCAAGCTGCCGAAGGTACCAGGGGGGTTCGACTCCAACCCCATCACGGCTGCTCAGAAGGAGGTCGAGGGGAAGCTGCTGCCCTACGTCGCTGATGAGAGCGACAGCGAGGTGGAGGTCTTGGAGGGCGACAGCGACGTGGAAGTCGTGGACGGGCAGGGGGGCGGGGGCGCCGAAAGAGAAGTAGTCGAACTTTGAATCATGGTTCTTTGGGATTGCCAGTGAGATTGGATGTTTTTGCGATGGTAGGGGCGCGGGCACCAAGTAGAGTTCAACCCGCCTAGGAAGTACAGTAGTAGGACGTTGGTAGCTCGTAGTGGTAGTTTGGTGTGATTTTTTACTTCGTTTTTGGTTTCATCTGCGTCTAGAATTGTTGAGTGGATGCCGTTTGCCGATTTGCCGAACTTGATTCTTCAGTACGAAAAGAAGAGAACAAAGAGTACAAATACCACATTTTTGAACATCGTCATGGTGCCATGGGCAGCAGTAGCAGTGGAGCACGCGATTCAAGCTCCCACAGTATCCGGAATTTCCAGCACAAGATGCTGGTGAAAGGGTATCACTTACCGACAAACCTCACCGCACATATCGGCGTCTCAGCACAGTGTGCGGAGACGACGATACCTGTGCGATAATCTAGCAAATCATTCGGAACCCGCTTTTTTCCCGCACACCCTGTGCCAAGACCCCGATGATTACGGAATGTACACCAATATTGCGCCCGCAAGTTCTTCGCAAAGCTAGAACTCGCCGGCTCAACATTAGTACATCTCTACGCAGACCACGACTGAACAAAGCAGCAGAGCCTCTCCCCCCCCCCCCCCCCCCCCCCCCCCCCCCCCCCCCCCCCCCCC